AGTTAATACTATTGTGATTGCCCAGCACCTCCCAGATCAATGGCCCTTAAGGGGTCCAGAAATCAGGACGGAATTATTCCGCTACACACCTCGCCTGGGGCTTCATCGTCGCTTTTAGGGATTGGGGTCTCCGTCCAAAGACGAGCGCATTTCTGAAACATAATGATTGAAACTACGCCTCCATCCTTTTATGCCAGCCCTCTTGGGAAAGTTTGTAACGGTAACCCCTAATAGCTCCTTTCCTGTACTAACACCCCAGGCGTCAAGTAACCAATGTTTTTTTTCATGGTGTTTGGGTATCCGTGTTACCTTTGTCACTTTAGGCTCATGAAGAACCGGACACGCTGACATTACTTATGCGCCTGATCGAGCTACTAAATAATCAGTAGCCTTTGTTATTGTAGTATTTTTAATAGGTATTACAACTGAAATGTTTACAACATGGGGCTTTTTATTCCCGCACGTCTTTCGATAACTAAAAAATATGCCTGTCACTAGCTTCCTGCCTCTCGAATTGGACAAAAGGACAAATGATAGAATTTTGTGGTCGTTTTCTAAACTTTGTGCTCTGATTATTTCTCTTAGTATCCGCGCACACAAGTAAACATCATCTACCAGATCGCCGTTTGTAGTTGCTACTGTTAGTGTGGCTCCAAAATCCGCTTATCGACCGCTGTCCACGCGCGTCAGAAATTCACCACATCACGACAGCTTATTTTAGTAAACCAGCACGCCGTTGATGAGACGTCGATTTTCGGCTCCAGTAGTTCGCAAGAGGTCCACTTTTATGCTCAGAGGCCACCCAGTCGAGACGCCCTACGTAAGGAACCCTACTGGATCTAAGTTTGATGCTTTAAAGAGAAGGAATTAACGTACGCAGAACGATTGATGCGCTGATGTCCTCAGCCATTCCTGTTTGCCGTCTACTCCACACAACTACTAGGGGTCATTGTAAACAATCTATATGGTACTGGCGACTGACGGCTTGATTTTACGGAATAGAAAAGGTTCTTGTGCTTAACTCCTTGTCCTGTAAGGTTCGTCAAACGATGTTGAAGCTGCCTCTTCACTGAACTAGTGCGATTCTCGCTAAAAGTTGAAATCAGCAATAAACAGTACGTACACAGCTTCAGTGAATAGCTCCTCAGAGCAGGGCGGGGTCTATATCTCTCAATATCTCAATGGCCACACTGTCAAAGAGCCCAAAGATTTCAAAATTCCATATGGTCTTAGTTAAGCCTTCACCAATTGCATTATTTTTCTGGAAAAGCATTTGCCACCGTTGCCCACTGCTGACAGTGGAGAAAAAACCGTGGCTTAAAAAGCATTACTGTAACCTAAATCACCCGCCAAGTTAGTGGCAGCTGTTAACCTACTCACGTTCGTTTACCACACTCTTACATGTAAGCCCCAGGACTCTGTCATCAGTTCGTATGGAGTTAGGGATCAACAGCTGTGTGCTATGTATGGATGTGGTGCCATTCTAAACGGCTACTACGTCTGCATATCCCCTTCAGTCGTTTTGACAGGCTTTGCAACTGTTATTCATGACATCATGAGCCTTAAAAAACCCGAGTGCATTCGTGTTGGACAGCTAGAACCATAGAGCGCGACACTGAACCGGAGTTCGTAGTCGCCGGGCGATTACTTATACCAAAAGCCTGAATTCGAACAAAAGATCGCAGAGACCGCAGCCGTAGTCATTAGTAAGACCTTCGTTCCGCAGCTGTGCTTAAGTGTACATCGTACCGCTGTATCTAGCTGCGCCGCACTTGCGCTATTTATTGCTTTCCATCTTTCTGTTTCATGATTTGTTTGAGCTTTTAGCCCAAAGCAATGTGGGGCATTTTCATGTGGTCAGAAACGCCGCAAAGGAATAAAATCTCGTAACCGTTTTAGAGCAAGTAAATAATGTTTGTTCATATAGGTCATATCTTGCGACAGGGTCCACCTCTCAAAGAAATTGACATTGCCTTACCTGGAGTCTTTAAGGGCAACTTCCTAGTCAAGCCTACTTTTTCTTCTGCAGAAACAAGGACGAATTTACCATGTGCTTCGACATGGGCTGTCCTCGATTTGTGAACCCAGACACCGTCACTGACCGCGGCGACTACGCACTGGATGCCCAACGTCATCAGGGCTATGTATTTCGCGAGGAATTAGAAAACCTGCTAGACCTACCGCGTCTTCGGTCTTACCTGAAACTCTATACGACCCTGCCGGTTTCTAAACTTTCTATGTTTCTTCGTGAAGTAAGTTTTCTACTGTTTACTTATTTGCTTCCTTTGCTGAGCTATTCCGTAAGGTTAGTTCTGCAAACTTGCTAAGTCATGTTTTTATGTACTAGAGGGGAGGGGGATGGTCTTGGTGTTTACATGGGAACCTACCAAACTGTAGTGTACGGTTCGTTTTTACCCAATGGCTTGGTGATTGGCTTTAACTTTAATTTCAGTTACAATGTGCCATAATTATTACACGATGGTTATTTTTTTTATCTAGGACAGGTCTTGCAAACGAAAAATGCATCGTCGCGTTATAATATAATTATCAATGTCCTTTGCGTATTCCCACTTTTCCTATAGTGCGTAATTGCGCTGGCTTATGCCATAATACATTCCTCATTCAATTATATAGTTTGTCATTCTCAAGCCAATATAGTTTTAAGGGTGCAGTACTAATTTGGGTTTTGGTATGAGAGACTTGTAATGTCTCTACTCATGTCCACCATGTTACAGTAGCATGCAACGTCAAAATGATCGCGGGGGCAGTACTGAATCCTGCCGCACTTTCTGCGTTTTTACATGCAGGTAACCCAGACTGTAAAGGCCTGGGATCTCTTGGCGGGAAAGTTACAAGAAAGCCCCATTCAAAATAGTTCGTTGCGGTCCGACCGTCAGTCCCAAGCAAGGCAGCAATCAGACCCATTATATACTTATGTCATACGATAAACCTCACGAACGTCGGTAATGCCAGGAGGACGTATTTTTTCTATGTGGATGTTTGTGCATGACATGTTTTAGTCACCGCTCCCAGTCTGACACAGTCGTTATGAATTGGACTTGTCGAGAGCAGTGATGGAGGGCGTTCTACCTCCGATACACTGCTATAAACACGCTTCTACTCTGCCCTGTAGCCTACAAGATCTCCGGTTGATGGACTAACCTGGTCCTGGTCAGCACTGAGGATTTTAGTATAACTCCCCTGGCACTCCAACTGATGTGAGTCCCTAAAATCTGTCATTGAATTCTGCTTTGTGTAGAATCATGTATCGGCAGGTAAATCAGCCGCTGCATCCGTGCCCATATGTGGTCTACTTGATGCGCTCCTAATTTAACTGAGGTTGCTGTGAGGAGAGCTAGTGTAGATGGGGCTCAAGTCTGCTTTATCCTAAACAAATGCACACAAAAGTCACCAATGAACACTGTCTGGAACCGTTGTGGTCCTCGTCTCTTACGATAGGCTTCTGCCCGATGTCAGCCGACGAACCCGAAATTTCCGTTTACGCTGTCTTTGTTGGCATAATGTCTGTCAATTCTCACTATTGGCTAATGCAAAATATCCCCTATCTTTGTTCCTATCTGCATTATGCTATTTCTCCTGACACTGATCACATTCATGCGTGCAGAAGGACGAAAATGTTGTGCACTCCCAGCTGATGCGATTCAAACACCTGCTCAAGAACGTCACCACCACCAGGGAGACCTGTGGTAGCCTGTATGGGAAACGGCAACTCCTCTGTGACACAGACTTCTATGTCGATGGCGAGATGATTCACATTGCGGACATGAAGGTTGATCGTCGTTTCTCCGATTTCTTCATGCTCCAATTGGAGAAACTGCACGAGGCAAGTCATTTCACTGGCATTATTGTGATGTCCGTCCAGCTCCTATCACTTTATCATACAATTCAAATCTGGATTTAAAAGAGGCATTAGAAAAAAACGAGCACTGACCAGACGCTGGGGAAAAGGCACTTTGGGCACATAACTTACTCAAACTATCTTGTAAATCTGTGACCGAATCTCCTATCTGTAGTCACCTTTACATCACGGCGATCGTAACAACCATCGTAGAGTTTAGGTATGTCCTCACTACATGTCACCAACTTGCTTGGCTTCCAGAAATTTTCTCCTTCATTCCCATTTCAGTAGACTGAAAATTCTCTCTGTTTTACGACCCTTGCATCTTAAATATCTAAGTTTTTTTCTTTTTTTTCTTTTAGGTGAATCACAACCTGGATGATTTAGAAAATCGACTGAGTTACTTCCGTGTCCGCAAATAGGCAAAGCATAACTCTCCACAATCACTCCCCATCCCCTTCCCCTAGTTCCTCAACGTGAACCGCTTTGTTTCCTACTTTGTGTGGTTGTCTTTACCATTGGGCCTGGAAAAATAGAATTTTTGCGAGAAGGTATGACTACTTCTCAGTACTGTTAGTGCAGATTGGCTGTCCACCTGCCACTCCTTTTCTGTTTATTCCCTGCCAGCCACCAAAGAGCTGGCCCTTGAAGCGGACGATACTGAAAGGGACTAATCATTTGACTGTCAGACATAGGACTTGGGGAAGTATGTTTCAGGCCTTTTGAGGAACTATTCATTGTAGCACGAAAGGGATAGGGCCAAACGACTTTTCAATCACTGCGCCCATGTCATCTCCAGTAGACTTGAATCAATTGATCCAGTTCGATCCTTTGTGGCTATACGCAAACGCACATTTAACACCAGACTTAGTGTGTTGCTAAGACGGGGGTAATATTTTTCTTCGGAGCAGTGCACGAAGCTGCGACGGACCGTTGTTACTGTGATAACAAACCTTAAACATGCAGTATACAATTGTTTGGAGTCTATTGCAGTTGGGATTAGATTCCAGCAATTGTGTACAATTC